TTTGACCTGACCCATGGAGAAGTACACCAAACAAAGAAGCACCAAGTGACCTGCTGTTAAGTGCTGTGGTTTCAAAGCACAAAAGTGATGGAACGAAGCGGATATCTCCAGTATTTTCCGAATTTAGTATTTTCCCGTAGGCTTAACATTACGACGTAATGACCTCTAACTGACCTCAGGTCAGTGACCTCAAAAAAACCGAACTATATGTTATACAACTCGGTGAACTTAGCACATCCTGAAAGTTTGAAGGAAATCAGTGCAAAACTGTGAGTTGGACAGGTGCAAAAAGAAAATTGAAATTTGACCATGACCTTGTACCGGTTTTTCTGACCTGGTGACCTGACCCTAGGTCACTCGGACCTGAAATTTTCAGGTCATATGTAAAAAGGTTGCCCCATAGGCTGTGCCAAATTTGGCGGCGCTGCGCGCCGCCGTTTTTACGCTATCTTCGAAAAACCTTAGGGGGGGGGTCGCATCGACCCCCCCCCCCCTGCCAGGGCGAGGGTTAATCTTTAATGACCTCGATTCCTTTTTTGAGTTTTACATGTTACTAGGCTAGTTTTGGAGCTGAATTCAAATTTAGCAACCCTTTGATTTAACATTTACGAAGTACTTGTTGTACCTTCGTAACATGTTACGAAGCTGTCAGAGGCGGTTGACACATACTAGGAATACCCGGCAGGACCCCTACTGGTTGACCTGACCTTACCCGACCTGGCCTAAATGCATGAAGACATCATTTGTGATCAAAGCTAACCGATGATATTCGTGATCAGCACCCCGAAAACCCCAATAGCAGCCACACTTCACGACGTTCTAACACGTTACGGTCCAAACTCCATAGAGAAGCGGACATACGAATCTTCGAGAGTTAGGCGACGAAATACACAACTTGATTGTTAACCCTCGCCCGTATTGGTTTGTCAGCCGCGTACGTATAAAGGGGAGGGGGGGGGGGTCCGTTGGACTCCCCTTGCCTTTTGGCCCCTGATTGAGCTAGAGCTTCGCGAAAAAAAACGAGCGTGTTGCCCATGACGGGAGAAAGCCGATGATACCCAATTTTAAGGTCCTAGGTCATTAGTTGACCTTGCAGATCAAGTCAATGACCCAAAAGTCGGGAAAATCGGGACCTGTTAGAACATCGTAAAACGTGGCTTCTTTGGGGTTGTTCGGGGTGATGATCACCAATATCATGTCAGTTGTGATCATAGAGGGTGTCTTCATACATTTAGGCCAGGTCTGGTCAGGTCAGGATAACCAGTAAGGGTTTTGCCGGGTATTCATAGTAGGTGGCAACCGCCTCTGACAGATTCGTAACATGTTACGAAGGCACCAACCGAAGTCATCAAAGGTCAATGACCTGACCTGACCTTCCGGTGACATTGACACTCACCCTAATGAATGGGAGGAACACGATATCCCATGTTTGAACGCTTGAAACCATGAAAAGACTGCAAACGCGCGGCTAATGCGAGCCGACATACGCCGAATCGCGATCCTGGCCAAACATGGTCTCGAAAATTAGGTCACTGGTCAAAGGTCATTGGGATCAGGGTCATGAATTTTTTAGGGTAGGTGTAAAATTGATTAACCCTCGCGGGCCCGGGGGGGGCGTTTTTCGCCCCCCCTGGCGAATATTTGCGATAACTCCCGAACGCTTAGGGATAGGAAGGCGAAACTTTCAGTACCTTTTCTCCCATCAATTTGACATCTTCTGAAGTAAAAAATTTGGGCCTAGCCCCCTTGATGACGTCACAAGGTCCATTTTTCTAGACCCCTGCACGGCAAACTTCGGCGTCACAGACGCAAACTTCAAATAGCTGCTAAAAATAGAGTTTTAGAGATAAAGACAAATTACGAGCACGGCTGTGTAGCGTTTGACCTAGAGAAAAATAGAAAAATAGTTTTGGTGACCTGAGGTTAGAGGTCAGGTCAACGACCCCGAAATGTGGTTTTAGTTTTTCGCAAATAACTTCGACAAAAATGGTCCTAGAGCTACGGCAGTGGTACCATCGTATTCGCCTTGTCAAGCAGCGTCGAATGATATATATTTTGTTCGGAAAAGGTCAAGTTTCATGTTGACCTCATGTGACCTCGAATGACCTCTGGTTGACCTTGACACATGAAAGGTCGTTTATGATGGATTTGTACCCGCTGATCACGAATCTGGCATCTATTTTCCTCTAAGCCTTCATTTAGAGCTTCCGGATGGCAAAATTGTCTTATTTATTATTACTAACGTGAATCAGTGAAATAGCCTCTAGCAGGGATACTCTTCTGTGACCTTGACCTTTGAGCAGCCTTGTATCGTAAGATGAACCACAAATAGGGAACTGATAAGCCTCAAAACATTTAAAAACATCTTGGAAGTTAGCACGCAAGATGTGCGAAAAAGTGCCAAGTTTGAGGTCAATTTTGAGCGTGACCTTGACCTTGACTTTTGATTTCGAGCACATTTTCAGAATCCTCAGATTCTCTTCTTTCGTTTGACACCCAATTTTGCCGGTTTGATGCAGCCTGCCGTCCTCTAGAAGGCTTACTTTGAGATCACTACACATGTGCCGGTTTTGGCCTTTGACCTTGACCTCTGACCTTGAAAATTGACCTGAGGTCAAAAATTTTAGGTGCATTAGAATCGTCTCGTAAGGACCTTTCGTTTGGTATCGCTTTTGTTTCCGTAGCCCCCTTATTTACGGAGTTAGACGGGGGGGGGCGAAAAACGTCCCCCCCCGGGCTGCGGTGTTTGGGATTACCCCCCGGGCCCGGCCGGGTTAACGCGAGGCCCGCGAGGGTACTGAAAGTTTCGTCGCGATCGGCCGCTTTTTACGCGAGTTATTCGCGAAAAGCCAAGGGGGGTCCGTTCGACCCCCCCTATACGGACGAGGGTTAAGACTTAACCCGGCAGTTGCTGGGGTATTTCGCCACCCACCGTTTGCTGGGGGGGGGGGGCGTTAAACGCCCCCAGCCGATAACTCGAGAACCAATAGGCGCAGCGAAACGCACGAGGCGGCAAACGAAAGAACGCGACAAGACGCTTCAAATGAGTACTTTAAAGTTGAATTTTGAGGTCACAGGTCGGGTCAAGGTCAGGTCAAACACCTGAAATCGGGCTTTCAGTAGCATGAATTTCAGGACTTCGCAATGGGCGCCTCTCGCCATAAACTCTGTCAAAACGGTGCACAATCCACCCTATAAGGCCTACAAGAGTGTCAGCTCCATATAGGGGTCAGTCAAGCATAGGTCAGGGTCAAGGTCAGGTCAACCGGGTAGGCACATATCCCCGAAAATCAAAACTGATATTCGCAGCCTGTGACACATGTTTTATAGGTAATTTGGGGCGTAGAACACGATGGTGACATTCATTTTATCATATGTGTACATGTTTGGCTCAAAAACTTCAATTTAAGAAATTCATGTATCATGGTCGTGAAGAAGTCACGAAAAATTGCCAAGATTCAGTTCAAGATTTTGGAAAATACGGAATGATAATCAATAATCGAAGATAGCCATTTGATTGATCATGGTTTTGGCAGTCTAATGGCGTTTACGGCATGTCTGTATGTCTATTCTGTGATTTTATATGATTTTTTGAACATATGCCGTTTTTGGTCGAAAACTCAGAAATCATGACGTCACTAAAACCTCAATATCTCAAAAAATTTCCGACCGATTTTTTTAAAACCTTGTCACAATGAACTTCAATCAATTCCCTACAGGTACCCAAAATTTGGCGCGCCTGCGGCGCACCGTTTTTATGCTATGGCCCGGCGAAAAAAGTGGGGGCGTTTAACGCCCCTCCCCCCAGCAACTCGCGGGTTAACCCACGAGCCGCTGGGGGGGCATAAAGTTGCCCCCCCCTTTACGTTGTGTGACATATCTCCGAAACCTGATGAGCTATGAACGTGAAACTTGGCATAGCTTCAAATGAATACCTAGGCAATGTTTGAGAAAAGTTTGGTGGTTGTAGCACCTAAGATGACGTCACAGTGGCGTCATAAAGTTTTGCCGTTTTCCGATATGGACCGTTTCTGACGACGCTGAGCATGAAACTCAACTGTAAATGAACTAGACAGCACCTGCTGTTATCCTAAAACATCTAACTACACTTCCATCTAGTTTCTGACCAATAATCGGTCCTTTATATTCGGTCCCATATATCTGATGTATCGTGAGGAATATGAGAGTCGCAAATCTATAATTTCACATATGACGTCACTGTGACGTCATTTTAAATGGGATCAACACCAAATTTGGACACAACCTCGGCTAGGTATTCAGGAAGATGTGTGCAAAGTTTCGCTTGTCTATCTCTTCGCGTTGCGACGATATCGTCGCAGAAGTAAAGGGGGGGGGCAACTATATGCCCCCCCCCCCCCCCCAGCGGCCGGCGGGTGGCGCGGAGGCCCAGCGGCCGCCGGGTTAAGATATGATCATTTTGTGAATGTTGGGCAAAGCCTGACCACTACTGGGGCATTCCTTGACTCTACTGGGGCATTTGCCCCAGTAGTGTCAAGGAATTAGGTACAGTAGGGGCATTTGCCCCAGTATGTTAGCCGAGGCCCTGTTATGTTACACGCCGTGTGATTTATTTATTAGTTCAGTTATAATTCCTGAGAAGTCGTCTATCCCGGGGTGTGTGTGTGTGTGTGTGTGTAAATAAGGGCAAATACGAGCTACGAGTCGCCAGGTAGACATAATTTTGATACAGTTGATCGTCTGTTAAATCGATGTGCATCAACCAGATGTCTCAGTAATTCAGCCAGCAATTATCGTGCTGTGTTAAAAAAAATATGTTTACAGTGAGGGGCAAACTTGAAATAAACGAACTATAGTTATTTGTCAAAAAACAATTGGGTTCGCCTCACCGCTCCCTCTCAATCTAGGTGCGAGTTTTATGTATGAGCCTTCAACGTTATTCTCGTTTGCTAAATTGCAGTCCATCTGCTGAAACCAGCATCAACGACACAGCACAGAGAGGGCTCCAGTGGCCGGCGGCCAGTGACGTCTCGATGCCGACATTGAGCCAATCACCTGCAGCCAGTGTAGTCACAGTCCAGAAGCAGGAACGCTCGACTGTGAAGCAGTTGAAGCAGTTTACATTTCCACCTGGTCTTGCAGAGCTACAGGTGATCGCGATTTTGGAGTCCCTCCAAGTCCAAACCTTGAAGAAGCTTACGGTCTCCACTCCTCCTGACTCGACGGGACGGTGGCTGCGGCTGCTGCCGCCGTCCTTGAGGCGCCTGGACGTTTACGGTGAGATGTCATTGATGAAACTTGTACCTAATCACACTGCTGTGTGGTGAGGACAGCGCTTAGTAGGTATTGTGATTGCGGCAATGCATGTAGGCTGTAATGTTTAGCCGATCCGATACCATATGCAATGTAATATTAATCTACACACAAGAACAGTGTTTTAGCGGGCAGTGGCATCATCACAGTAAAATGTGTAATGCGTATTCACTGTAACTCTTGTCAAAATTATGATAGACGTTGTTTTGAAGACCACATGCTCTACAAATGATCATATGAAACCGACCCGTAATGTTGATCATGGCCTGACATCCAATACCTACAGATAGTTTTGACAGCATCGTCGATAGTGTTCAATCTCTATTTTTCATAGTTCATGGTCCATGCTGAGCTATGTAGGTAAAACAATATATGTGCTTGTATACAACAGACATTGCCAAACTCATTCCTATCAGTGACGAGTCGGCTGTGTTGGTGTCAGTATCGGCTGTATCATTGTTACATACCAAAGTATCAGCGGCCTCCCGCCCCGGCGGCAGTTCTGTCCGACTGCAATCAGCTGACACAGCTCTCTTTCCGCAGGACCGGGGGAGACGGGGAAGCCGCTGACACTGGGCAGACGGCTCGACCATGGGCTAAATGTCGTCATACAACAGGCGGGAGATGACGTCATCAACCAGCTGGCTAAGGAGCTGGGACCACGGGTTACCTTACTGCTTACGTTCAGTGAGTGGCGGTGGCACGGACAGGTTATCGGAATGAGTCATGGTTTGGTATACTGACGAACACCATATACCTAACTAAGCACGGCAACACCGTTCGGGGAGAGGTGAAACAGGGAGTGTGATCAGAGTAATAGTCATATCAGATACTTTTTGCTGGTATATTTGGAGTATTCTATGTATGTAAATGACGGATATGCCGGATATGTCGATATTCATTTCCGTGGGGTGTGTGGAAGTGGTGAGACCTGGTGTTGGCGACCTGTGGTGAGTGCTCCATATAAATGCATAACCAATCACCAATCACCAGTTATGTGGATGTGTTGTTTCATTTTCTGCTTGGCAGTTCTTCATTAGTAGGCATCATTACTTGTACACAGAATGCATATACATATAGGTATACATGCATGCGTGTATAGCTACTTCTTTGCAGATACATACATAAACTGTACATACACACATACATGCATACGTACTTACATGTACATAAATATACATACAAATAATGTTAAATGTGTTCATTATCACTATTTACTGCTCAATATTACCTAACAGTCAGCTCGAATGCAGCATGTAGTGTCACCTGTCTATGTATCAGCACGTGCTAGCGAGTAGCGTAGCATCTCCCACGCCATTCACCTACCATGCTGTCTGTGTTTCCCAGACTGCCCGCGTGTCACTGCCGGGGCCCTACAGAGGCTGCTGTCCGCCCTCACCGGCCTGGAAGACGTCACACTTGGCGGCTCTCTGTCCGGCGCAATCACTAACGCCTCACTGGCCGCCCTCCACGGCTGCTCCCAGCTGCGTATAATGCAGCTGGGACAGCCATATGTACTCTGTACGGATATACCGGTCACAGCGGTCAGCAGGTCAGTCAGCTGTACACACAGACCAGACCAGACACAGACCATACACAGACCAGACCCAGACCCAGACCACAACCCAGACCAGACTCAGACCAGACCCAGACCAGACCCAGACCAGACCCAGACCAGACCCAGACCAGACCCAGACCAGACCCAGACCAGACCCAGACCAGACCCAGACCAGACTCAGACCAGACCCACACCATACTCAGACCAGTTCTAGCTAGACGGGACCAATAAATGCCACCACGTATTGTCTGCATGTGTATACTGTTACAATGCATTGTGCTTAGAGCCTTGGTATGTATTGTCATTGTCATGCTAACGCATTGTAAAACCCGATTTATTGTATCATTTTGTTGCGATAAACCGGAATTTCAAAACATTTCAGGTTATTACATCATCTTATGATGCAATAAATTGAAATGTCAGGATTTAACGTGAAAGGTCGGGAAAAAAATTTACAGCGACATCTGAGAACGTTGTAATAAATCGGGTTTATTACCTCACGCGACTTGCACAGATTTTGAACAAAGTGGAAAGACGTCGCTGTTCTGATATGAAGAGCTACCATATTTGAAAATCACGATTTGAATATCCTGTTTATTTGAACATTTGCGCAGGGCATTTCCCTATATGGCCTCTTTCAGCTTAGGCCAAAGTGGCGCACAACCTGTTATGCAATGCAGCATGCATCTGCCATTTTGTATTTATATACACTGTGCCATTTTGCACCCATTTTGAAGTGAAGTTACTTCGATTACTTCGGAGGGTGTGGACGTGGAGTTGGTGTCAGTGTGGAGGTTATGTTGATGTTGCAGGTAAGTTTTAGGGTTTTCATTGTTGAATGTTGATTCAATCGCAATTCAACTTCGGAAAATATTAATAAATTTATGCAATATCCCCATGCAGACAGCCATCCTTTGCAAATTTACCCACCAAACTAAGCAACCAGATGCAATCAAATACCTACTGATTAAATGCTCCATAGAAACCAACTGAATTTAATATTTTAATTCAAACTAAGTAGGTATGCTAGTTAACAATTGAATGACTTTACCTTTGATGGTATTGGGCTGGGTCCAATGTTTTACATGATAATAATATCTGCATGATATGGGTACCTATTGGGTATTGATGTTTCGGGGCTTCGTAGGGGTAGTAGTAGAGCAGGCGTCACACTTCTTTTCGCAACCAAGGAGAGGCGCTGTAGGTACTAGGTTAGGTTGTAGATTTTAGGTGGTTTAGGTGGTAGATTCTAGGTTGTAGGTTGTAGGTAAGGTTAGGTTCAGTTTGGTTTGGTTTGGTTCGATAAGAAAGCAACTTTGGGTAGAGCGCCTTTCCTTGGTTGCAAAAAGAAGTGTGACGCCTGCTTTACGACTACCTTCGTAGATAACCTGCATGGTTAAAAAACTTAAACAATTTTGTTTTTACTGCCTGTAATCATTTTATTATTTACATTAAGTTGTATGGATAGGTTCTGAAATCATGCTTACAAAATGTCATTTGTATTTTCTTACCCCATCAAAGAAGATAAATGAAAATCTAGCAATGGCTCGGAATGCTCGGAATTGCCTTTAAGAAATCCACTTAGCTCTTGGACACTGCTGTTATTGCTATTTTGACATGTTTGGCCAATTTCTTAGTTGTGACTTATGCTACTGCACAAATTAATTGCTTACATTTTCTCCTTTACTAAATTAGCACATGGTCACTCCCTATATGCTTATAAATTTGGCATTGGTAGGGCAGACATAGCACGAGCTACCATATGTGATGCTGTAGATTGTAGGTTTTAGGTTGTAGGTTGTGGTTGTAGATTGGGTAATTTCTTCCAGTGATTGAAAGACTTTACTTTCGGCGAATTAAACTTTGTGATTGTTGTGGGCTGTGGCTGGGTAATGCTTGTTTTTGTTACATTACATTTATTTCTAACTCAGTGGACACTTAACTTTTGACTGGCATGCTATCGTTATGGGGTTTACCCATTGATTTCAGTTTCCCTGAAAAGTGAGTACAAAATTATATTTTTTTCTATGATGAGTACTGAGTACAAAAATCTTTGGTGTCTGGAGACACCAATCAGCGGCAACTTTTGCAACACTGGAACATAGGGTACACCAATGGTGGGCAGGTGGGTAAGTGCCCACCCACTTTTCGAGTGGGGGCCAACCATGTGTTTTGGCCCACCCACTTTTTACTCTAGGCCCTCGTCTCGATTTGAGAGGACGTCGTCACCTCCCATAATAAACAAACTTGGTAAAAATAAGTTCCACGAATCCCCACGCACGGACTCCAAGGGGCCGTGATGGATCCAAGGAGGCCCTCTATTCATACTTGACAGTCGAAGCGCCTGAGACTGATGGCCTGAGAGGCCCTAGTGGATCTGAGGAGGCCCCAATATCCACACTGGTCTGGGGAGGCCACTGACACCGGCGGTCTGGGAGGCCCCTTTATCCACACTAGTCGGAGGTCTGAGACTGGTGGTCTGGGAGGCCCCTCCCCTCCATCCACACTAGTCAGAATAGGCCCCTGACACTGGCGGTCTAGCCGAGGCCCCCTACCCTCACTAGTCAGAGGAGGCCCCTCTATCCTCAATAGTCAGAAGAGGCCCCTGAGACTGATGGTCTGGGAGGCCTATCCATCTACACTGTAGTCAGAGGAGGCCTCTGAGACTGATGACCTGAGAGGCCCTTATAATCACACCAGGCAGAAGAGGCCCATGAGACTGATGGACTGAGAGGCCCTTCTATTCATACTGGCCACAGGAGACCCCCCAAAACTTTCTGTCTGGGACTGGGAGGTCCCTCAATCCGGCACCAGTCTGAAGAGTCCCCTGAGACTGATGGCCTGGGAAGCCCTTATATTCACACTAGGCAGAGGAGGCCCCTGAGACTGATGGTATGAGAGGCCCTCATATCCACACCAGTCAGAAGAGGCCCCCGAGGCTGATGGCTGTGAGGCCCTTCTGTTCATATAACTGGCCACTGGAGGCCCCTGAAACCGGTGGTCTGGGAGGGCCCTCTATCCAAACTAGTCAGAAGAGGCCCCTGGGACCGATGGTCTGAGAGGCTCTTATATTCATACTGGCCACAAGAGGCCCCTAAGACTGATAGTCAGAGAGGTTCACTCCTAATGAATCTGAGGGGGCCTTCTATCCACATTTACACTTTTCTAGGGAGGCCCCCGAGACTGATGGTCTGAGAGGCCCTTTTATTTATACTGTCCACAGGAGCCCCCTGAGATTAATGGTCTGAGAGGCTCTTCTATTTATACTAACCAGAAGAGGCCCTAGGATTGATGGTCTAACAGGCCCTTCTATTTATACTAGCCAGAGGAGGCCCATGAGACTGATTTTCTGAGAGGCCCTTCTATTCAAACTAGGCAGATGAGGCCCCTGAGAATGATAGTCCGAAGAGCCAGGTGGCGGCAACTTGCCGTGGCCATATTTCGGCTCGGTAGAGCCCCACAGAGCACATGAGAGCACCTCAAGGGGTCCTAAGTAGACACGCTTATTCCCATAAGGGTGCCACGCCGGCTTCTGAAGGCTCCTTGTAGGCATCTAAGGGCCCTTTCCGGCCTCTAACGGCTCCACCCGCCTGTGATGGCTCCACACCAGTGTTTATGAGCGCCACACAGCGGCGCCTTTGAGGGTCATACTAGTGTCTCTTAGGGCCCTATATCGGTGGCTCTGGGGGCCCCACACCGGCGCCTCTGTGGGCCACCACACCTGTGCATCTCAAGGCTCTATAAGTACATATGAAGGACCCACACCGACACCTCTGAGGGCCCCACACCAGTATCTCGGAGCTCTGAAGGCCCTACACCGGTGACTCTGAGGACTCACCGGCTCCTGAGAGCACCATGTTGAATGTTGATGTCTAACGGCTCCACAAGGCCACTGAAGGCACCACACAAGCCAAGCTCTCACTGAGCTCTAATGTCCATGTACCGGCCTCTGAGGGATTTAAGCCAGCGCATTCATAGCTCCACACCAGCAATTGTAAGGGCTTCACACTGAAGTATCTGAGGGTTCCACACCGGTGTCTCTAAGGGCCACATACCGGCATCTCAGAGGGCCCCATACCGGCGTCTCCGAGGGTCCACATCTGGCGGGCACCCATCATCGACTGAAGGTCCCGACTCCGAGAGCCCCATCTGCGTCTGGGAGTAACATGCCGTCTTAAGAACCACAGCGGCTCCTCTGTCGAAAGATGGGCGTCTGCATGCCAAAGGGGAGCGGTTCTGAGACAGTAGGGCACCTACGTGCAATAGAAGGGCGCCTATGAAGCCCTTAGGTGTGCCTTAATGCGAAAGAGGGGTGCCTCTGAGGCCTACATATATGGGCGTCCACATGCAATAGAGGTCTGCACTGCAATGGATCGATGCCATGAGGGTGCATTCATAAGAAACAGGGGCGCCGGCATGGCAAAGAGAGGCGCCTTCAAGTGTCCATAAAAGAGAGACGCCTATGATAAGCGCACATTGTATGCGACAACGGGGCGACTGTGGGACATATAGGGATGTCTCTGATGACTATACATAGGGCGCTTATATGCCAAAGAGGGCGCCTATAAAGCTAATGGGGGCACCTGGGAAACGAGGAAGACATTTGTGTAAGGGTTTTCAGGGGTCATGCACCGTTCGCGGCATATAGATTCTAAAAAAAAAATCGGAGGGAGAATAAGTTTTAAAAATGGTGCGGACTTCCCGCACTGTTCGCTGAAGCGGTTACGCCCCTGGGTACATCTGCTCGATCTCAGAAGCTAGATTTGGAGGTCATACTTGAAAGCAGCCGGCAGGACGAGGCAAAAGTTGGAGGCCCCTGAAAATAGGAGGCCCCCTGGAAAAGGAGGCCCCTTGACAGGGTGGCCCACCCACTTTTCATGACGTTCCTACGCCCGTGTTCCCATCAAAAGGTTCGGACTAAATTTATTTTTAAAAAATCAAATCAACATGACAAATAGTTGTTGGATTAACTATGCACGATGTACGTCAGACACGTACCCAGGATTTCGCCCACGAGGGGATCACCTGCTCTTGAAGGGGCCCGCGAGTCACCCGGGGGCCCGGGGTCAGCCCAGGCAGGGACGTATCCAGGACCTTTCGATGGGAGGGGGGCACGGTGGGTCCGGTCCCACTGGCAGACAGGCCTCTTTAAAACGGTCTGCCCTGAGAAAATGTTAAAAATTGGCACGTAAAAATACCATTTATGCCCAAGGAGTGTGCCTAATGTGCATGGTATTTTACGAGCAAACGAAGCAAGCGAGCTCCTCAGTCACCGGTGTGAAAGGCCGTCAGATGCGCTGGTGTTGAGTCCTCACAGCCGCCGTTGCGGGCCGCGGGGCCTTAGGGCTTAGAGACACTGGTGGGGCCATCATTGGCATGTGCGTGGCCCTGCACAGTGGCCTGAAAGTGGAAAGTGGCCTTTCATAGTTCATAGACTAAGACTGGCAAGGACACTCAGAGGCTGGTAAGAGGCCATCACTGGTACTGGCCCAGTCACTGGTACGTGGCCCTCAGAGACGCTGGTTTGGGGACTCTCAGAGCCGCCGATGTAGGCCCTTAACCCACGTTCGTGTAGGGGAGGGGTCGAACGGCCCCCTCGGTTTTTCGCGAATAACTCGCGTAAAAAGCGGCCGATCGCGACGAAACTTTCAGTACCCTCGGGTTATTCAATTTTACACCTACCCTAAAAATTTCATGACCCTGACCTAAATGACCTTTGACCTGTGACCTACTTTTCGAGCCCATGTTTGGCCGGAATCGCGGTTCGGCGTATGTCGGCTCGCATTAGCCGCGCGTTTCCAGTCTTTTCGTGGTTTCAGGCGTTCAAACATGTGATATGATGTTGCCCCCATGCATTAGGGTGGGTGTCAAGGTCACCTGAAGGTCTGGTCAGGTCATTGACCTTTGATGACCTCGGTTCACTTTTTCGAGTTTTACATGTTTCTAGGCTAGTTTTTGGAGCTGAATTCGAATTTAGCAACCATATGAACATTAACGAAGTAGTTTTGGTGCCTTCGTAACATGTTACGAAGCTGTCAGAGGCGGTTGACACCTACTGCGAAGACCCGGCAGGACCCCTACTGGTTGACCTGACCTGACCTGACCCGGCCCAGTTAAAATGCATGAGGACATCATCTGTGATCAAAATTAACATGATATTCGTGATCAACACCCCGAAAGCCCCCATATCAGCCACACTGCCACACTACGACGTTCTAACAGGTCCCGATTTTCCCGACTTCTGGGTCTTTGACCTGACCTGGAAGGTCAACCAATGAACTAGGACCTTAATATTGGGTGTCATCGGTTTCCTCTCGTCACGGGCAACACGCTCGTTTTTTTTTTCTGCGAAACTCTAGCTCAATCATAGGCGAAACGGCAAGGGGGGGGCAACGGGCCCCCGCCCCCTTACCTATACGTTCGCGGCTGGAAAAACACCAATACGGGCGAGGGTTAATGTTACTACAATACGGCGAGGGTTACGGGCGATGCGCTGATGTGGGTCCCTTGGAGATGGCGTGAGGGGCCTCGCAGGTGCCGATGTGGTGGCTTTTAGAAACACTGGTGTGGGCCGTGGGGCTATCACAGACGGGTGTGGAGCCATTGCAGCTGATCCCTCATTGGCCGTTACTAGGGCCCTCAGAAGCCGGCAAGGTCTCTCAGAAACCGGCGCATTGGTCCTTTATGGAGATAAGTGTGGCTACATAGGAGCCCATCTGACTCATTGAGTGGTCTCCAGGCCTTGACACAATTCTATTCGACCGACCTCCTCGTACAGGAGATTCTTCTCCGTCTGACAGCCCTCGACCGAGAGGGAACATCAATCACTTTTTGCTGGATCCCTAGTCATGTTGGTGTTGCTGGCAATGAGCGGGCGGACGGATGTAAAAGTTTCAATGATACAAGCGGCAATATTTAGTGTATGCACCTCTCACACCTTGACTGCCAATAACACTTGTTTTCAGGTTGGCGTCAGTCTCCACTATCCAATCACAGATGGATACCAAACGAGGTGAGTTACAGTCACTGTCGAAGTATTCCTTGGTTTGCAGAATATTGGAATCCATAATCTAGGGGAAAGTGGTAGAATCTTTGGATGAAAACAGTGTGATAGGCAATATCCAGCATGAGTTAAATAAAGGCTGTTTATGTTTAACCTAGACTTTTTTGAAGCTGCGACAGATACCTACAACACTTTTGGCAAAGAAAGCAGTTTGATGTAGGTAGCATACCTTGACCTCAATAATGCGTTTGATAAAGTACCACACATAAGGATAGTATTGCAATTGAAGCTGCAAGGCATGAAGGGGAATATACTAGACCCGGTTGACAGGACGCCAGCAGCGTATAGTGCTAAATGGGTGAAGGGCAAGGTGGGAAAAATGTTCTGATTGGGGTTCCTCAGAGCTGTATTAGGTCTCATGTTCAAAATTTATGTAAATACAATCGACGAAGGCATAGCTTAGTAGAGTGCTCAAATTTGCAGATGCTATTAACCTGCGCCGTGCTGGTGGTCTGAGTTTTTAATGTCATGCTGGGGGCTCAGCGGTCAAGGTGGGCGCATGACCGCCACTGAGGGACCCTCAGAGGTCATTGTAGGACCCTCAAAGACCGGTATGGGAGCTGTGCGAATAGCTGGCGTGTGTTTCTTGAGCCTCGTGATAATCGAATAAGGGCCAGGGCCCCATACCCCCATGGGGGCTCATCGGTTAGTTTGGGGGGGGGGGCAATAAATGCTATGATGCCCATGATTTGCCTTGGGGGGGGGGCAGTGGCGCGGGAGCCGGGGGGGGGGGCTAGGGGGTGCTGAGCCCCTCCAACTTTTCGGCTGGGAAGGGGGGCTCGTAAGGTATTTGAGCCCCTCCAACTGGAGGGATCGAAATCGGAAATATACCAACATAATTTCATAGATTCATACATAGGCGCGGGAACCGGGGGCAGTGGGGCAGCTAGCCCCCACAACTCTGGGGCCGTGGGGGCGGTGCCCCACAACTTTTCATAAGGTCAGGAACCGTTGGGGCAGCTTGTCCTCCCCAAATTAGGGGTTGTGGGTCACAAAGGAAGAAAGCATTTAAGTGAAAAATCCAATCACATTAAACGCATGACATTATCTTATAGTTAACTCCGTAACGTTGTCAGCATCGTGTGCTTCATTCAACTCAGTGTTGGCTGCCTAATTATTGGCCGGCCGCCTCTCTCTCTCTCTCTCTCTCTCTCTCTCTCTCTCTCTCTCTCTCTCTCTCTCTCTCTCTCTCTCTCTCTCTCTCTCTCTCTCTCTCTCTCTCCCCTCCCTCCCCTCCCCCTCCCCTCCCTCCCCTATGTCCTATTCACCGATCCTCACTGCTCGCTCGGGCCGCGTAGAGTGAGGCTCTGCCGACTCGCTCTGACCGCCCGCCGGTGACGTCACGGCCCCTCCGGCAAGGTCAGGTCAGGCCACCGCTCGCTAGTGCCGGCCGGACTTGTCGGTCCGAAGCCATACTAGCTCCGGAACGCTACGGCAAAGACTGGTTAACCGGAATAGAGCCATATCGACCCAAACTCTTATTCCGACGGCGTTCCGTTTACACCGGCCCAAATCTGGCGTGCCGGAGTCGCTAGGGCAAAACGGACTTGAGCCAAACCAATTGCTGGCTGGGAAACTTCCTTTAGTATTTTATGTTAGCTAATAGCTATCAATATTTGACAGGGCGCATAGCTGGATCATATGGGAAGAGGATGCTGCTTGCTGCTCTCCACTCCCGTGGCAGACATAAAGGCGCGCAGCGTCACTCACGTAAAAATGGACGAGGTAAGACGTGACTATGGTGCCTACATTTGTGTTGTTACCAGTTACTCAGTCCACCCAAATCTACTTGTATCTATGCTAATCAACACATCATAATTCAATCGTTTTTTCTGGTTTTTCTTTAGACATTGTTCTTTTTTTGGCTCACTACCTGATCCTACATTTTAAAATCACTCGCCGAATCACTGGTGATGGTTAAAAAATCAAGACAGCATTCATCCTCCTACCGCCATGCTTCCTTATGCGTTGCCATATCTTTTCTTTCCAGAAGTCCTCCCTTCATCTCCTGGGTCAGCCGGCCGCGTGGATGAAACCCCTCCTCACACCACTGAGTATCATGTATACCACAAATATCCTGGACTTGACTTGACTATGACGACTCATGAGCTGCGACCGGCTACCCATGCGATGGACGGAGCTCCGCCGCCCGTCCTGACCCCGGACGCTAGAAGGTGGGATGCTCATCATCTGCGTGAGACTTCTGAGACTGCGACCGGAGCCCCGCAGCCCGTCCCGACCTCTGACGCTGGAAGGTGGGATGCTCTTCATCTGCGTGAGACTTCTGAGACTGCGACCGGAGGCCCGCCGCCCGTCCCGACCCCGGACGCTAGAAGGTTGGATGCTCATCATCTGCGTGAGACTTCTGAGACTGCGGCCAGAGCCCCGCCGCCCGTCCCGACCTCTGACGCTAGAACGTGGGATGCTCATCTGCGTGAGACTTCTGAGACTGTGGCCAGAGCCCCACCGCCCGTCCCGACCTCTGACGCTGGAAGGTGGGATGCTCTTCATCTGCGTGAGACTTCTGAGACTGCGACCGGAGCCCCGCCGCCCGTCCCGACCCCGGACGCTAGAAGATGGGATGCTCTTCATCTGCGTGAGACTTTGAGACTGCGACCGGAGCCCCGCCGCCCGTCCCGACCCCGGACGCTAGAAGATGGGATGCTCTTCATCTGCGTGAGACTTCTGAGACTGCGACCGGAGCCCCGCCGCCCGTCCCGACCCCGGACGCTGGAAGGTGGGATGCTCTTCATCTGCGTGAGACTTCTGAGACTGCGACCGGAGGCCCGCCGCCCGTCCCGACCCCGGACGCTGGAAGATGGGATGCTCTTCATCTGCGTGAGACTTCTGAGACTGCGACCGGAGGCCCGCCGCCCGTCCCGACCCCGGACGCTAGAAAGTTGGATGCTCATCATCTGCGTGAGACTTCTGAGACTGCGACCGGAGGCCCGCCGCCCGTCCCGACCCCGGACGCTGGAAGGTGGGATGCTCTTCATCTGCGTGAGACTTCTGAGACTGCGACCGGAGCCCCGCCGCCCGTCCCGACCCCGGACGCTGGAAGGTGGGATGCTCTTCATCTGCGTGAGACTTCTGAGACTGCGACCGGAGGCCCGCCGCCCGTCCCGACCCCGGACGCTGGAAGGTTGGATGCTCATCATCTGCGTGAGACTTCTGAGACTGCGGCCAGAGCCCCGCCGCCCGTCCCGACCTCTGACGCTAGAACGTGGGATGCTCATCTGCGTGAGGCTTCTGAGACTGCGGCCAGAGCCCCGCCGCCCGTCCCGACCTCTGACGCTGGAAGATGGGATGCTCTTCATCTGCGTGAGACTTCTGAGACTGCGACCGGAGCCCCGCCGCCCGTCCCGACCCCGGACGCTGGAAGGTGGGATGCTCTTCATCTGCGTGAGACTTCTGAGACTGCGACCGGAGGCCCGCCGCCCGTCCCGACCCCGGACGCTAGAAGGTGGGATGCTCTTCATCTGCGTGAGACTTCTGAGACTGCGACCGGAGCCCCGCCGCCCGTCCCGACACCGGACGCTGGAAGGTGGGATGCTCTTCATCTGCGTGAGACTTCTGAGACTGCGGCCAGAGCCCCGCCGCCCGTCCCGACCTCTGACGCTGGAAGGTGGGATGCTCCTTCATCTGCGTGAGACTTCTGAGACTGCGGCCGGAGCCCTGCCGCCCGTCCCGACCCCGGACGCTGGAAGGTGGGATGCTCTTCATCTGCGTGAGACTTCTGAGACTGCGACCGGAGCCCACTGCCCGTCCGACCTCTGACGCTGGAAGGTGGGATGCTCTTCATCTGCGTAAGACTTCTGAGACTGCGACCGGAGCCCCGCAGCCCCGTCCCGACCTCTGACGCTGGAAGGTGGGATGCTCTTCATCTGCGTGAGACTTCTGAGACTGCGACCGGAGCCCCCGCCGCCCGTCCCGACCCCGGACGCTAGAAGATGGGATGCTCATCATCTGCGTGAGACTTCTGAGACTGCGACCGGAGGCCCGCCGCCCCGTCCCGACCCCGGACGCTAGAAGATGGGATGCTCATCATCTGCGTGAGACTTCTGAGACTGCGACCGGAGGCCCGCCGCCCGTCCCCGACCCCGGACGCTGGAAGGTGGGATGCTCTTCATCTGCGTGAGACTTCTGAGACTGCGACCGGAGGCCCGCCGCCCGTCCGACCCCGGACGCTAGAAGATGGGATGCTCATCATCTGCGTGAGACTTCTGAGACTGCGACCGGAGGCCCGCCGCCCGTCCGACCTCTGACGCTGGAAGGTGGGATGCTCTTCATCTGCGTGAGACTTCTGAGGACTGCGACCGGAGCCCCGCCGCCCGTCCCGACCCCGGACGCTGGAAGGTGGGATGCTCTTCATCTGCGTGAGACTTCTGAGACTGCGACCGGAGGCCCGCCGCCCGTCCCGACCCCGGACGCTAGAAGGTGGGATGCTCTTCATCTGCGTGAGACTTCTGAGACTGCGACCGGAGCCCCGCCGCCCGTCCCGACCCCGGACGCTGGAAGGTGGGATGCTCATCATCTGCGTGGGAGACTTCTGAGACTGCGGCCAAGAGCCCCGCCGCCCGTCCCGACCTCTGACGCTGGAAGGTGGGATGTCCTTCATCTGCGTGAGACTTCATGAGACTGCGACCGGAGCCACCGCCGCCCGTCCCGACCCGGACGCTGGAAGGTGGGATGCTCTTCATCTGCGTGAGACTTCTGAGACTGCGACAGGAGGCCCGCCGCCCGTCCCGACCCCGGACGCTAGAAGGTGGGATGCTCTTCATCTGCGTGAGACTTCTGAGACTGCGACCGGAAGCCCCGCCGCCCGTCCCGACCCCGGACGCTGGAAGGTGGGATGCTCATCATCTGCGTGAGACTTCTGCAGACTGCGGCCGAGCCCGCCGGCCCCGTCCCGACCTCTGACGCTGGAAGGTGGATGCTCTTCCAGTCTGCGTGAGACTTCTGAGACTGCGACCGGGTAGCCCCCGCCGCCCGTCCCGACCCTGACGCTGGAAGGTGGGATGCTCTTCATCTGCGTGAGACTTCTGAGACTGCGACCGGAGGCCCGCCGCCCGTCCCGACCCGGACGCTAGAAGGTGGGATGCTCTTCATCTGCGTGAATACTTCTGAGGACTGCGACCAGGAGCCCCGCCGCCCGTCCCGACCCCGGACGCTGGAAGGTGGGATGCTCTTCATCTGCGTAGAGACTCTGAGACTGCGGCCAGAGCCCCGCCGCCCGTCCCGACCCCGGACGCTAGAAGGTGGGATGCTCTTCATCTGCGTGAGACTTCTGAGACTGCGACCGGAGGCCCCGCCGCCCGTCCCGACCCCGGACCGCTAGAAGGGGGATGCTCTTCATCTGCGTGAGACTTCTGAGACTGCGACCGGAGGCCCGCCGCCCGTCCCGACCCCGGACGCTAGAAGATGGGATGCTCATCATCTGCGTGAGACTTTCTGAGACTGCGACCGGAGCCCCGCCGCCCGTCCCGACCCCGGACGCTGGAAGGTGGGATGCTCATCATCTGCGTGAGACTTCTGAGAATGCGGCCAGAGCCCCGCCGCCCGTCCCGACCTCTGACGCTGGAAGGTGGGATGCTCTTCATCTGCGTGAGACTTCTGAGACTGCGACCGGAGCCCCGCCGCCCGTCCCGACCCCGGACGCTGGAAGGTGGGATGTTCTTCATCTGCGTGAGACTTCTGAGACTGCGACCGGAGGCCCGCCGCCCGTCCCGACCCCGGACGCTAGAAGGTGGGATGCTCTTCATCTGCGTGAGACTTCTGAGACTGCGACCGGAAGCCCCGCCGCCCGTCCCGACCCCGGACGCTGGAAGGTGGGATGCTCTTTATCTGCGTGAGACTTCTGAGACTGCGACCGGAGGCCCGCCGCCCGTCCCGACCGCGGACGCTAGAAGGTGGGGTGCTCATCATCTGCGTGAGACTTCTGAGACTGCGGCCAGAGCCCCGCCGCCCGTCCCGACCTCTGAAGCGGGGAAGGCGGGCTGATGCCCGTCATCTGCGTGCGACTTCCGAGACTGCGGCTGGAGGCCTGCCGCCCGTCCCGACCCCGGACGCTAGAAGATGGGATGCTCTTCATCTGTGTACAACTACTGGGGCGACGGTTGGAGCCCCGTCTCGTGTTTCCCCACCTACCTCTGAGACGGGAGTTTGTGGGTCAGTAAAAACCTCTTATTCAACAGCACTGCCAACTGAACTGATCGACATGACGCCGTTCTCTGCAAGCGAGTACGACCTTATGTCACCCACCTGCTCTACTTCGAGGGCTTCAGTCCAGGATGCAGGGGACCATGGCACATGGACTTTTCCTGAGCACTTGATGTGCAATCAAACAGAGATCACGGCTCCCGAGAACCACCATTTGGAGGAGAACGAATACGGAGAACAGGGAGCTGAGTCTGATGTCAGCGACGGTGTTGAGGTGGCTCCGCCCCAGCACAGTTCTCAGTCGCGTACATCTCAGTCGGCGAGGAACGGCGCATCGTGCGGCGAAGTGCGGAAAAAAAATGTTTGCATATATTGCAAGCAAAAGAGAAATCTGATATGGCGCCATATCAAGACGGTCCACCGTGACGAGAAGGAAGTCAAGGATACAGGAGTGTGATTCTGAGCAGGAACGAAAAATGAAAATCACCGTGATGATCAACAAAGGCAACATGGAGCACAACAAACTCGTCCTACAAAGGGGTGAAGGTGACATGATCTTGGGAAGGAAGTCGGACCAGGCGTCCGTGGACGACTACGTGCCATGTCCTTACTGCTATCTTTTTGTGGTTAAAACCAACATGATGCAGCACATAAAACATCACTGTGTGGCTCGCAAAACAGAATGCCCAGACATTCCCACGGTGCTGGCAGAGAGCCGGACGCTCCTGAGTGACGGCCAAGAAGAAAATACTGGGTATCACAAGGACATATTGTCTCGTATGCACGACGATGCAGTTACGAAGACCATAAAGAACGATGAACTCCTGAAGAAGTGGGGTGCCAACTTGCACGCGAAACTTGGAAGGTCGGGTTTTGCGCAGATAAGCCAGCGCCTAAGGATGATGGGCGAAGTTGTCCAAGCAGCCGGAAAGAGCATGCAAGAGCTGATCAATGGCGAAGGATTTGATACGGTTGTAAGTGCCACCAAATCCGTCTGTGGGTTTGAGCAGGACAAGCTAAACGCCCACACGGGGCTGCCCACATACAAAACTCCTTCAAAGGCCATGCGGATTGGAGGCGAACTACGACAGCTGGCTGCTCTCAAGAAGGGCATTGCGCTGATCAAGAAAGAAGAAAGCGAAGTGAAAGATGCTGAGGCGTTCTTGTATCACGTGGACCAATTCTGGAATGTGAAGATCAGCAGCGTAGCGCTGAAGAACCGCGAGTCGAACAAGTATGACAAGAAAGACATGCTGCCCTTTACCAGCGATTTGAAGCTTTTCACCGAAAAAATGAAGGAACGAGTGAAAGAAATGACAGAAAAGGGAATACATGGCATGACAGACTATGCAAGGCTGAGCAAAGCGGTTCTCGCCCGTTTGCTAGTATTCAACAAACGCCGTCCTAAGGAGCTTAGCAGCATCCTGCTGCAATCATGGATCAACCGAGAGATGTACAAACAAGAGACGGTAGAAGAAGTGAACAAGTCAATGGGTGAAACAGAAAAGAAGTTGTTCAACGAGCTCGACGTCGTCATGTCCCGCGGCAAGTGCGGGAACAAGGTCCCCACCCTGATACCGAGCGACTGCGCGGCTCCGCTGCAGCTACTGGTAGACAACCGGGAGACGTACATTGACAAGGATAACAAGTATCTGTTCGCAAACCCTCTGGCGAGGACTACAGGACACTACAACGCAGGCGTGGTGCTTAAAGAGCAGTTGTCGGACATGGCACTAAACAGGGCAGATCTCTTCCATGCAACAAAACTACGGAAATATTGTGCTACAACGTCCCAGATTCTAGAGATGGGTGAATTCGATATGGAGGTGCTCACCGGCACATGGGACATGACAAAGACGTGCATCGTGGGTACTACAGACTGTCAGACGCTACTCACGAACTGACGCGTGCCTCCATCCTGATGATGAAGCTGGACGAAGGATGCCTCTCAAAATATAGCGGACGGAGCCTGGAGGAGATGCTCACTGAAGGTAACTAATCGTTTGTACATGTGCTAATCGTAACATCACCATTCGTCTGTCATTTTAGCAGACATTTCATGCAGTTAAAGCATTAATTTGCAATGTAGTGTTAAAGAGGCAATGCAATAACACCATGAAGAGAATCGTACAGAGCGAAGGCAATGTAAGACCGTTAAAGTTCACTGGTACTACTAGGTTATATGCAGACCCATGGTGCTGTACTTCAGATTAAGGACGAGCGCGGATAGCCAAAGCAGTCCGGGTACCACCGTAGCACATATGTTCCGTTCAGCGTTTTTTTTTCAGAAATGCTTGCCCATTATGGCAGGCACTTATTTTGCATCACACATATTCTTAAATCTGACAGAGACGGTTTTTCAGAGGACTTCGACGAGCCAGGCTCTGAAAATGAGGGCGGTCCGGCTGATGATCGCCAAGAGGACGATGAAGGAGGTGAGGCGCATTCACTACATCTATAGTGTGTTCCATGTCAAGCTTGCGGCTGAAGTGCTCTGTTGAAGGCAGTGCGTGATTTCTGTGCATACATCTTACATTCTAAGACTCAAATTATTGAATGGAGTAGCGCGCTCAGCGAATTGCCTGGAACTGCCAAGGGGACTCCGACCGCAAGCTTGATATGGAACAGACTATAGTCCGGCCTGAAGTTTTATAGTGGGAGGGCAATTGCATAGGTGAGTTCATATGCATTTATTGAAGCACTGCGATCGATGCAGGATAATAAGCGTATCGCTCAATAACTGCATTGTCCATGCGAGAATGCCTTTACTCACGTCCGTCTGAGGAGGGAGGGAATCCGACCCATGGGTGATTTTTTTTTTTGCAATAGCAGCTCGATGGCGGCGTGAAGCGCCGCCCGCCACCCAACCTCGTCTACCCTCGGCCTCGTTTGCAATTTTGCTAAATCTGTTACATATGAAATGTCATATGCAAAAAAAGTATTTAAGCAACACTCACTGCGTCTCCTTTGGTGAAATCTTGAGCTTAACGTATTGAGACAAAATATTTTGATAAAGCTCGATAGGGCTTGTTCTAAGTTATCGAATGCTATCTTAATTGTTCTAGCTTTTATGTTTTTTTTTTCGAGACACGTAGCGTTTCGTGCTGAAAAGCGCCATTTTTATTTTTAATGCTGGCTTTTATCATGCAAACCCTCTAAATATTGATGTAGTTAGGGAGCGAGGACTCATGAGCCCCTTTCCCATGAAAATTTGCTGTTTTTAGTTCCATGGGAGCGAAACGTAAGTGGGGTCGTATCAAGCCCCCCCCCCCTCCTCAGTCGTTCTTGTTCGGGGTGGCAAAAAAAAAGCAGTAGACAGGTGCAGGTTTAGGGGACGTCGTGCTAACGAAACGACAAACTCAAAATCTTTAACAAGACATGAAGCGAAAAGATCTTTTTGGCCGGAGGAATCCAGAGCGTCGTAAGCCTCGTCGTAACTGCGACGTGTCGCAAGTTGTGTAGTAAGTCGTTTTTGGAGGGATCAATCGATGAGTAGCGTTACTTAAAGGGACTATCCCACCTTCTAAAATGTTATTAAAACCAGTTAAATTGTGCCCGACTTTATAGATTGGATGACCAGGAACACGGTTCTGGCATTTATTTTTCATTAAACATCTTAGACTTCCCATATTCCAAACACAAACTTTCAAATATGTGACGTCACAGCCCAAAATTACCTCCTTCCCCAGGCCACATTACTGTCATAAAGCAGATTCTTTTTACTTTGTAGGCACCACAACAAAGTTCAGACCAAGTTTTAAGCGATTTTTCAACGAACAAACCCATTTAAATCAGAACGACTAAACGAGGTGACGTCACACTAACGGTCGCTCCATGTTGAAGATAGGGCCTTGTACAAGGCCCATTTTCAAATGAAGGGAACGAATTTCTTCAACACCAGGAGGCCGCGGGGGTTGCAACCTAGATAGATATAGGTTTCTGAACCTCGCCGCAAACTTGGCTATCTCAACTCAAACCCCATGTTAAAGGTGGGATAGTCCCTTTAAGTAGTAAAGCCTGTCGCAAGTTGCCTGATTTGCGACACAACTTACGAATTTGAAATAGCAGTCGTAAGTTGTGTCGTAAGCTAACCTTGCTTTGAGGAAGAGGTCACAGGTCACAGGTCATTCGGGCCATGGTCACGAAATTTACATGGTTAGTGTAAAATTGTTTGAACTTGAGTTAAAATTTGGTTACAATCCGTTGACGCTAACGCGAGTTATAGAGCTTGAACCGACGGGTCATCTGTGAGGCCTCAATCCGTGCCAGCGAGTGTTAAAAATGGTGCATAATATGTTATATTCAAATTCATTGGGGTATTCAGGGATACAAAGCAGCCTTATATCATTCCAGCAACTACTGGCGAGTCCAGAAAGGCGATCTTGGACGTTGCGAGGGGCATCCCCCAAAAGATTCTCCCAATTCCAAAAACGACGTGTCTCAGATGGCCCCCATGACTCCAATTTAGCTCTGTGATGACCCCAGTTGACCTCTGTGATCTGCCGTGTCTCAGATGACCTCCGTGACCTCCCATTGAGCTCTCTCATTACTCCGAGCTGACCTCTGTGACCTGACGTGTCTCAGATGACTTCCGAGTTTTGTGATGACCCCAAGTTGACCTCTGTGACCTGACGAGTCCTATATGACCTCCAATTGAGCTCTCTCATGACTCCGAGCTGACCTCTGTGACCTGACGTGTCCCAATTGAGCTCTGTGATGAGCCCAAGCTGACCTCTGTGACCAGACGTGTCCCAGATGATCTCAAATTGAGCTCTGTGATGACCCCAAGTTGACCTCTCTGACCTGACGTGTCCCAGATGACCTCTATGACCTCTAAGTGACCTCTGATAACCCCAAGCTGACTTCTGTGACCTGACGTGTCCCAGCTGATCTCAAATTGAGGTCTCTGATGACCCCAAGTTGACCTCTGTGACCTGAAGTGTCCCCAGATGGCCTACAATTGAGCCCTGTGGTGACCTCAAGTTGACCTCTGTGACCTGACGTGTCTCATATGACCCCCATGACCTCCAATAGAGCTCTGTGATAACCCCCAAGTTGACCTCTGTGACCTGACGTATCTCAGATGACCCATATGACCTCCAATTGAGCTCTGTGATGACCCCAAGTTGACCTCTGTGACTTGACGTGTCCCAGATGACCTCCGTGACCTCCAATTGAGCTCTTTGATGACCCCAAGCTGACTCTTGTGACCTGACGTGTCCCAGTTGACCTCCAATTGAGCTCTGTGATGACCCAAAGTTAACCTCTGTGACCTGACGTGTCCCCAAGTTGACTTCTGTGACCTGACGTGTCCCAGATGACCTCTGTAACCTCCAATTGTGACCTCCAACTTCAACTCTCTTACCTCTCTGTGACTTCAAACTCTCTGAACTCATTTCTTCTAAAGCATAGCTTCTAGATGCTCTTTAGCCACGAATCTCCTGTGATCGACCCCAAATTTTATGGCAAATTATGTGAGCGTTAGCGATCACAAGTCACCCAGTTGAGACAAAGCTTCAGAATCAGAGAACATGCTTGACCTGGCTGTCTCATAAGCTCTCAAACCAGAAAGGCGAATGTTCCGTTATGCGTGATAGAGTTTTCGACCTTACTGACGTTTACTACGGGATCAGCTGATCGTGTAGCCTTTTAACCCGCGCACCGACGGGGGTCTGCGCCAACTTAGTACGACGGGGGGGGGGACGGGGGGGGGGGGGGCGGATGACCGCCCCCCCCCTGAGATCTCGAGAACGAAGCAAGATAGCGACAAGCGGTAAACGGCATCGGATACGCACGGTCAAGATCTACAATTTTTACTAAGGTCATTTTCAGGTCAGGTCAAAGATGACGTCACAGGGGTCGAAAAAGTCAAAATGGCGGCGCTAAATATGGAGATAGTTTTTCTCGAATAACTTTCGAATTAGTCGAGATAGGAACAAACTAAGGGCCTCATCGTGATCCTCTCGTCAATCCGCATCGAATGATATATGTTGACCTCGAAAGGTCAAGGTCAAAGGTTGACCTCAGGTCACGTGACCTCGAGGTCATCATGTATATCATTCGATGCGTCTTGACGAGCTGAACACAATGAGACCATCCACGCGTCTGTATCTTGTTCCTGTACGGAGTTATTGGCCAAAAACCTTTGGTGACCTTTGATGACGTCACATGACCTCACAGCTGCCCAACAGCAAAACAGACCTCAAGGTAGTGAAGGTTGATCGTATATGAAGTCATGTATGGTATATGGGGCCATTCCGACCCGTTTTAGTGGTAAAAACAGGGAGTTGATTTTTCCCCCATTGACTTATAATGGGGAGGTCGCGAAATTGACCTGACCTTAGGTCACCGATATCAAAATTCCGAGATATACAAATTGTAGCTACTAATGACCTAATAACATCCTGCGACTTTCAAAGGCCTCCGACATCTACTGTAGCTCTGGCACGGTGACAAAGTTGCAAAAAAGTGACTTGAGGTTGGGTCATTCAAAGTGACCTGGTGACCTGACCTTGAAAGGTAGGAGGTTCAAACTTGCACACATGTGTAAAATTGATAAGGGAATAGTCATACCAAATTTCGCGGCGCTACGCGCCACGGTTTTCCCGCTATTCGCGAAAAACCTCAGGGGGGGCGGATATCCGCCCCCCCCCGTCGGTGCGCGGGTTAAATTCTCGAGTAAAGCGGGTATTTAAGCCTCGTCGTAGCTACGTTCTGTCGTATCCTCCGAAACCCCTCTTTCCTCAACATCCCTCCTTTTTCGCTACGACACAACTTGCGACGGGACATGTGTCGTAACTTGCGACGTGTCGTAGATGGACTTGCGACGCCCCGGCCAAATTTATGTTCTCATGCATAACCATGTAATGTTAACAGAATTACATGGTTAAGTGGTTCTATTCCTAATGTTAACTATATTTTTTAATGTCCACAGGCCATGAACAGCGGAAGAAGGACCGCAAAAAAAAGTAAGTGAAAGGTTTGGCGCCTTACATCGCCTGCATCAGCTTTACGTGTTGCATTATTTCATAAACGTATTGAAATTTCCTGCATTAAATACCCTCTTTGAAATTTGTATACCTTTTTATATGCAAAGAAACAATAAATGTTGATGGTTTGCCCCCCCGATTTTTTAGACTCGATAGTAGAGGCACCTATGTATCTTGCGGCAATGGCTAACAAACAAAGAAAACGGCAGACAAGGAAGCATGAAGCACCAAGTCCAACACATTCTGCCGTCCAAAGTCAAAACCCCACATGTCAATTTTGGGTCATTTTTCGTTTTTTACACCATTGTGACCAGCTTGCAAAGCTCTATTTCATGCCATGAGGATTTTTTTTCAAAAACCAAAAAAAGCTTTTTGGGAGAGGAAAAACAAATTTTGGAATTCACACGTCTTTGAAAAGCA